GATTGTTTATAGGACTCCGTGTGTATAAAAGGAGAATTATTGATTTCTTTTTTTTAGGGGTTCTGCCTCAGCAGGACTCAAAATCCCACCTATCAAACAAGAGATTTGGGCTTAAACACAAAGCTTAGGAAATTATAGTTAGAAAATAGTTTTAGAATTTTTAGTGGTTTGTTTAAAGAAAAGTAATAATTAGTTATTTTGGAGTCGGATCTATAAATGTTTTCCACTTCTGAACGTTTCAGAGGAAAAGGCAGCAGATTTCTCTTCATCCATCCATTCATCCATGTGGTCTCTCCTACTTCGTGTCGTCAGTTTAGTTCTATTGACATGTTTTCTTTGTTCCAGATGTTTAGTTCATGAATTTAAACCCAGAACCTTGTTAATCAAGCCAGTCCTGATTGGGTTTGGTTCTATTCAAGTTCTGCCAGGTATTTTTACCGAGGTCTCAACCTGACTCCCCATCAACATCGTTTTCTCCTTAAGTCTTTAAGGTTTTCTTATCTGTACAGGAAGCATCAGACAGACCCAGCAGCCTCATCATCAGTTTGAGGTGATGAAGACGATGTTTGGCGTTCAGAATGAGCCAATCGTAGGCCTGGATTAGCTTCCTTCCCTCTGGATTGGCACAGCGATCGTAGCTCATCGTGTCCTCCGTTGTTACTGTCAGGTTCACACAGACTCTGGCAAGGTGAGAGACACGTTAATGAAATATGGATGCCTGTAAACACAGAGGCCCTCAGTCCTGGCAGCTCTTTCTCTCCCTGCATTTCTCTGTTTTCTTTTATTATTATTTTTCAAACGGCTCCTGAAGTATCACCACTGTCAGGTGTTTTTACCGAGGTCGCCCTTCACGTCTCCTGTCTCAACCTGGCTCCCCATAAACGTCGTTTTCTCCTTAAATAAGATGTGGGATAAACAGATCTTTGAGGTTTTCTTATCTGTAAAGGAAGCATCAGACACTTGAGGCTGCAGATCTGTTGGTTCACGTTAATCAACGTCCGGTTCGTTTGGGGAATCGAACTCTAAAAAAAGAGAGCTGCTCCACCTAAAGTGAATTCTGGTACGGTTCCAATGCATATGTGAACGTCAAGTGGATTGGAGACTACTCTACAAGCAGGAAGTGGACTAAAAAGCAGGGTATTCTGGGTAAATACAACCAAAAAAACTCACAATGCTAACGCTAGCAAAAAATGTTGCTCGTGTTTCAATCAAAACAAAACAAAATCCTAAAACGCCAGTCCATTTTTGTTTACATTTTGTGAAAGAAGTTGCGCTCAGTGTTTGTGTCATTTCCTTCAGTAGTTCTTGGTGCAGCGCCCCCATAGGCGAGGAGGGGAACAGGTTTTTCCATTAGATTGGATCGTTTGACACAGAACAATGTGAAAGCAAACCACAGCAGCTGAAAACGCAGGAAATGTGAAAACACCCTAAAACCGCCGTTGCTGTGAGCGAGGACCGAATTATCCCTCACAGCCTGTTTTTTACTGTCATTTAATGGCGACAGGCTGTTAAATAACCTGCAAAGAGATAAAAAATAATAATAATACGGAGGTGATTCAGCAGCAGTGGTGCAGTCAAGGGCAGCTCTTACTCATCTCAGCCTGATCTCCTGATAGAACGTGATGCCAAATGCGGACGTCCCTTTGGCTCGGTGCGTTTTGCGCTATAGGCAAAGAGCTTGATGTTCGCTGGAGAGGACAGGACAGCAGCAAAGTGGATGCTTGGAGAGCTTCCAGGGATTAAACTCATGAATCTAACAGCAGCCAGTGGTCATCGTGACACAAACAGTGCATGGGTGGGAACGTGCGTGCAGCACGCTGCGGTGCTGCAGCGCAGGCGGCGCTGCTGTGGATTTGGGGAAGCGGGGAGGAAAACCATAAACGCCTGCAGAGCGCCCTTCCTTCTTGATGCTGCACTATGATGGGTGCTACATTTTTATTAGAGATGACACTTGCTTTGTGGCTCGTGTCGCTCCGTGGCTCCGTTAAGTGTTTTGAAGAAGAATGTGGCTCAGATGATGAATAAAAGATTGGTGTATTTGGGGTTTTATTTCCATGACATTATGGACTTTTTGTCTGTGGGTTGTTTATATATTTGAGGATTTTATAACAGATAATCATGACCTCATTATCTGCCTGTCTGAGAAAATGACTTGGATTTACTTTAGACTCTGATTTTATTATCTTGTCATGTGCGCTGAGCTGCTTTCGCAACATCTTGGCTTAATTATGAGGCGGTTTATGTTTGCAGAGTTTGCTGTTTTCAGACCATAAAGGCAGTAAATCCTTAAGCTGGACAGACAGTCGGATCCACTGCAACGTCTGGATGGAGGGAAGTTTCAGTTTTCACCAAATCAGGCTGGAAACGACGTCGAGTCAGCGGATTTAGAGGAAGAAAATTTTTAATTCAGTTTGTCATTCAGCCGTTTATGAGCTTAATTATGAATGCATGAATCCATCCGTCCATTCATCCATCAATCCGTCCAACCAACTAACCGACCAACAATCCATCCAACCATCCATCCATTCATCCAACCATCCATCAATCCATCCATTCATCCATCCATCCATCCATCCATCCATCCAACCATCCATCCATCCAACCAACCATCCATCCATCCAACCATCCATCCATCCATCCAACCAACCATCCATCCGTCCATCAATCCATCCATCCAACCAACCATCTATCCATCCATCCATCTTAATCAGTTTTTCCATCTCTATTATTTTATTCATTCCTTGTTTTTTCACTATCCGATTATTTTGTCAGATTCTCCAAAACATTTTGATTTTATCCACTCAAACTTTTTACACTACAGTTTTTAAGTCTTTTTAAAAACCTGTTCCACCTCTGTTGTCTCTGTCTGTCACGGACGTCTTTTCTTCTCAGTCGCTCCAAAATCCGGAGTCCTCAAACTCAAACCGCAGTTTAATCCCATTAAGTTTCACTTCTAATCCTTTTGTTTCAAACCTGCCACTAAATTGTCTCTTTAAGTTTCCTCATCTTCCACATAAAACACCGCCGACCTGTGCAAAACGTTAAATAACAGAATGTTTATTCCAGGTTTAAACTTTTCTCCATTTTCCCCCCTAGAAAAAAATAAATAAATCAGGAATCACGATGGCAACCAGTGACTTAGCATTTCTTCTGGGTTCCTCCTCAGCATCATCTTAATCCGTCACGAAATAAACTCAAAATCTTTCATGTCTACCAGAAGCTGCTTCTTCTTCTACTCTTGTTCTGCTTCCTTGTTAACCTTTTAGAGAAATATGAATCGTATAAAGCTTTTTACGATTCACGCTTTTGTTTTTATGAATGAGCGCTACCTTCTGTTTGCAGCCCAGTGTATTAAAATGTAAATGTTTTTTTGTTGTTGTTTTTTTGTGCCATCCCAGAAGCTTATGAGGCCACTCTGTGGATCAACAATCAGAGGCAGAAAACAAAGATTACAGGCTAATCTGATCAACGCAGAGCTCTGGACGAAGCATTTATGAGCCGCTTTAGTTTGATTACACTCAAACAGAGGAGTTTACAGGCTCAAACAGATCCCAGCTGATTGGTTCAGGACCGCAGGAGGAGGAGGAGAAGCCGACCCGTCACACCAACTCCTGGATTTAAATACAATCAGGAACCTGATAACCTTTCATTATCTGTCTGCGCCTACCGCTGACCCCAGCATCCTGCATACAGTCGCCTGATTAGCACAATAGATGAATGAAATGAGCTACAGACTCTTGAATGGTTTCATTTTGTAAAGTCTTCAAACGGTTTACCTGCAATGTGAGCCTCTTTTAGTTTGTCCTCTAGTTTCTCTGCTCTGCCTCATATTTCCCATCATTCAACTACTTTGCCACTCATATCGGCTCTTAAAGGGGCAGTACACATTGTTCTCGTGTGACGTCTCACTTCCAGAACCTTCGTAACTGTCAGCCATTTTGGTAGGCAGTTACTAACACAACAATGAACAAGCCACAAGCTTCGGATCATCTCTCGCCTCGTTGTCATAGCTTGTCCACGATGTTTCCTACCAAGATGGCGGCTCACTTCTGGTTCAGACTTGTTTGAATTACAAATTAACTACAATTTCATTTCCAGATGAAAAACATACCTGGAGTGTTGCCTTGATTCTTTCATGCTTGCATGAGAAGTCTTTTAATCTCCATGGCAACCGATCAGCTGCGTGAACACAGCTCCTTCAGACTAGCGGCAATCAGCAAACACCTGCTGGAACTGCAGACGTCATTATAGGAGCTACTTTTTAGTGAAACTCTGGTAAAAACGTTGCTAAAGGGTTAATAGAGTTGTGATGATTCCTGGAGGCGGAGCTTCGGAAAGAGCAGGAGCTTCTTAAAGCGACAGAGTCCTTTAAGAAGTGTCATATACAATACAACGACACTCCCTGTATAATTTTTCACTTTTGGATTCTCTGTTTTTTGTTCCTGAGTTTTGTAGATTTGATTAATTAACCAGATGATGATGAAATGATCAAGATTCTTCATGAGGTTACTTGATGTTTTCACCTTCAGGCATCTGGACATTGTAGCCAAATTGAACCAGACTTGTGGATGTTGATGCATTCGGGTGTTTTTCAGATTTTCTTTTATTTAAAATCTGTAAATCCAGTTCACAGATGTATAAAACATGACAAAGATCACATTTTAATCATATTGTATGAAAATATCTGAGTTTAAACTAATATTCTGGTATTTAGCAAAAGAAAATGAATTGGATATTAAAACCTAAAATGGGAAAAGTTAAGTGTGACTTTTTACAGTGCAGAGAAATCTCGGTTGAGTTGAACTTTTTGAATTAAATCAACATTTCGCTGATTTTGCAGCCCTTTGTTTAAATCGATCATTTATTGACTGATCGTCATCAGCCTCTGACTTCATCAGAAACCAGACGTTAAAGTTAAGCATCGTGTTTACGCAGCGCCTCACTATCTCCCCTTTGTTTCTCTCTCTCTCTGTGCGTGTGTGTGTGTGCGTGTGTGTGTCTGCGTGTGCGTGTGTGTGGGTGGTGTGTTTTCTCCTTTTCTTCCTCTCCTCTGCCTGTTCTGCTGGGGGACTTGTGAATGGCAGCCAATGGGAGGGTAGAGTCCCCTCAGCCTCTCTGACATCCACACAGCGAGAAGTGATGCAGCGCCGCTGAGACGCGCAGTCGGCAAGGAACGACGGGCAACAAAAGCCGCAGCGAGCGGATACTCCGCGATCCGGCGTGCGGGGTTGTTTTTTTTACCTTTTGCGGGTTTTTTTTTTTTTTTTTTACTATTCTGTGCGTCGTGGGAAAATCTCTCTGCGCTGGAATAAACTTCAACAATCAGGTAAGCGCGGATTTGCTTCGCTTTTAACTTCCAAAACGCAGATTATTAATAATAATGATAATTGTTATTATTATTATTATTATTGCACATGCCTTCAGCTTAAACAGCAAACATGCTCGGCGGTGTGACAGTCCGGGTTTTAGCAGAGGTCTCGGCCACCAAGCCTCCAGCAGATCACCGCTGGATGTTGAATCTGTTCTGGTAAAGGAGAATATTTGCGATGCGCATCCAGGTTTCTTTAACTTTTCCGATGCTTATTTGTGCGCTGCGCTGCGCGTCCTGTCCTGCTGGTTCGGAGCCGCTGGTCTCGGAACCAGACTTCAGATGATGTGGAGTTGAATCAAGTTGTCCTCCAGGGTTACTGCAAACCACGACCTGCCTGAATGTTTGATGCCCTGCCTGAATAATGCAGCGCGGCTGTAAAAGGCTGTTTTACTGAAGCCTGAGTGATGGGGCGAAAGTTGCCTCCAGATTGCTCCACCTTTGTGTAGAAACTGAAGTCTTGTGTCTGATCAGCCCAGAAGTTGGATGAGTTTCTGCTCTGAACGGATGGAGTTTACATTTGAAAAGAAAGAGATTTTTTATTATTCTTTTTTCCCAGTTTTTCTGGGTCTTTTTGTTTTTGGATGAAGAACTTCTGAGCTGCTCTGAAGGTAAAGGCAAAGCGGGTCCGACTGGAGCAGACGGTCCAGGTTTGAAGTTCAGAGATGAAAGAGACAGAGGTGGAATCTGGCTGATCAAAGTCAAGCAGAGGAACATGGGCGGCGCTGCATATTGAAACCTGTGTGTGTGTGTGTGTGTGTGTGTGTGTGTGTGTGTGTGTGTGTGTGTGTGTGTGTGTGTGTGTGTAGAGCATCCTCTCTTCTCCCAGAGTGTTTCTGCGGGATTTTCCGACTCGAGATGAAGGGTTAGTCGTTGCTCTGACGTCACAGGATGATGGGTTTACCCCTAGGCCAGGCGACTATGACCGGTGACCCGAGCTGATGACATTATTTGTGCTCCAGATGGGCCTCATCGAGCATTTCTAGTCTCTGCAGCAACATCTGGAGCTAATGGAGTCCCGGTTCCCTCTGTGGTTCCGATCCGGGTGTCCAGGGTCGTGTTGCGGTCGTTTAGTCAACGTTTCCTCCATGTGGGGACAAATCAAATGAAGTTATTTGATGGCATTCATGTTTTGTTTCTGACAGTGTTGTTGTTTTAAAGCTCTTTCAAGCTGCGTTGAATGTTTTTGTGACTAAAATAAAGTAAAATGCTGCATAATGAGATGGACAGTCCAAAAAAAAGTCCAGAAACTACATTTTGTCAACGGTTATCGTCAGAATCATAAAAGCATAAAATATGTTTCATTTTCCATCTGTTGATTTAAAGGAGCTCAGTGTTTTGGGGTTGTTGTTTTTTTTGACGTTTCTTCCAGATTTGTGCCTCATAGAAGCTGAATGTTTGGTTCTGGGCTTGTGGATAAAAAATGTTACCAAAATCCTTTATTTCACTTCAGGTATTTTAGCCAGAAAATTTGATATTAGACCAGATTAAATGTTGTCTCTGTTTGGTTTCCTTCTACAGTCCAATAACGTTCATGTTTGCTTATTTGGAGCCAAGTTTAGTCATGTGTGATTTTATGCCTGAATGATTCATAGATCAGAGTTACACTGCAAAAACACAACATGTTACTTCAAGTGTTTTTGGTCTAGTGCACTTGAAATAAAACAAAACTGACCTACAGGTACCTTTCCAGCTTGTTGCAAGTCAAAAAATTCTTTAATTTTGATTTAAAATGCAAAAACGTTTCTGGCAGATTATTTTACTCATGACATAGAAAGATTATTTAACTTAAAGCAAGAAATTCTGTCATTTTTCATCAATATCAACAAATTACTGACTTAAAACAAGCTCCTATATTTTGCTGAAAAGTCACTTGTGAGTTAGTTTTGTCTTATTTCAAGATATTTGCACTAGAAATTAGACCAAAAATACTTGGGGAGCTTTTGTGTTTTTGCAGTGTAATCCTTGTGTCTCTAATTTAGCTGAGAATTTCACAATAAAACTAACTTAGACATGTTGGATTAAAGTGTCTAAGCTGCAAAAATTAATATTAATTAGTATTTTTGTTCTGGTTTCTAGTAAAAGTATCTTAGTTCACATGGAAAAAGGCAAAACTGACTTTTCGGCTAGAAATAAGAGCTTGTTTTGAGTCAATAATTTGCTAAAACGTTCAACTTTAACTGTTTCTTGTAATCTGCCAGTGGAGCAAGAACAATAAATTATTGACTCAAAACAAGCTTGTAAGTAAGTTTTATTCTCATTAAGTGTAAATTAGACAAAAATCCCTGGAAAGATTTTGTGTTTGTTGACAAGACATGCAGCTTGTGGCTCAAACGTTCATCCTTGTTGGTTGTTTGAGGGCATAAGACTTTTCCTTCATGTGACAACAACCCATGATTCTCGTGATCTTTGTTTGTATTCCTCAAAAGTTCAGGAAGTTTCTCCAGTCTATGTTTGGGTTTCCTCACAATTAGAGTAGCAACTTCATGAATCCCCATGAGACAGATTTCCTTCTCCTTCATGTTTGTGGAGCAGTAAGGAGTCCAGGAAGTGTCGCATCTTTAGACGTACGTCTCGCCTTTTAATCCGAATTCAAACAGGAAGCAGAAACTCTGACGTGAGTTCATGGATTAATCAATATCACGGCCTTCTGGGCCGTATTCGGTTACTTCATTGGGTTTTTGAGTGAACAACTGAGGATGTGGGTTGAATGTTTGAGGTTTTTAGAACCAAACAATCCGGAAAAGAAAATTAGGTTGCAATAAAGTCGGTCTGTCGATGTGACTGCAAAGATTCAAAGGCGATAAGTTGTTCCAGAAGTTAGTGCAATAAACAGTAATATTTTTTTGGGGCCAATTTCAAGTAATTTAATGGTAATAAAGGTATAATAATGGAAGAACGTTCAATACTGGAAGACATTTTAAATATCCAAAAAAAACAAACAGATCAACAGAAAATAAAATTCATTATGAAATATGTCTAAAAAAGAGACCAAAACACCAAACTGAAAACTTTTGTCGTCAAGTTTTTGGTGGTCATCTATCATGCGATTGATTTATTTTTCATTTTTAAATTATTTTGTTTTCCTTTTGTCTTCATTTTTACAGTGTTTGCTATTTTTTTGTTAAGCATTGCTAGTTAAATATTGATTAGTTTTGTTTTTATAAGACACATTAGTAGAGTTAATCTTTTCATACTTTGGTCAGAATCAAAAAAGGGTCAAAGGGTTTTGATTATGGCTAATAAATACTCAACAGAAGAAACCATTTTCAATCAATTAATCAATCAATCAAGCTAATCAGCAAAGTGCATTTAAGCAACAAGGCAGTTCAATCATAAAACAACCAATTCAGAAAACAGTCACAAACATTTCGTCAAAATCATAAGTTCACGTCAAATATGTTGATCAGTCTTCCATTGATTATGGTTCAAAAGTTTTTATTTTCAAAACGTGTTTGCAGTTATTGTTAAACAACTGACTGACTTTGGAGTTTCATCCCAACTTCTGTCATCCGCCATTTTGTGGAAAAGCATAAGTGTCGCCAGGAGGAAAAAGTCAATTTCACATCAGACTGAAAAGCTAATAATTAGATTCAAAAACATAAAAATGAAGAACGCAATGTTTTAGTTAGCTTGAATGATGAATAATATAGTACCAGTTAGTTGTAGTTTTCAGCATTTAATTACCGTCTTTATTTATCTGGGTCATTAGGTCAACATGTGCACCATGAGAGCTGGAAAGAAAGAATCCCTCGGAGACACAGTTGCCCGTCTGAGGGCTTTAGTCAACATTTCCTTTATGCGATGAGAAACTGGAGTTGCTTTGTTGCGTTGTTGATGAGGCTTCGTTTGACCGTTGGAACAAATTTCCTCGCAGGCAGAGTGGGAACTTAATAACTCGGTCTTTGCCTAATGAGACGGATTCCCTTCAGAGACGTCTATTTATGGCGCGGTTGGAACTGTAATTGGAGGGAAAGCAACCTAAAGGGAAGAGATGATATTCGACTTCTGATGCGTGACATGAAACGATAACATTTCTGTTGCAATGGGCAACGGTCTCCACAATGTGGAGAGAGATTTAGGTCAGAAGACACGTTTTCATTACAAATGTGTTTGCGAAACTTCGCCGATATTCCGCTAATGTCAGAAAAACAGAATTTGTAACTTACAGAGTTTCCAACTAAATAAGAACGTGATTAAAATTACAAGTGAATAAGTTTGATTGCACAAGTCATTAAAAAATTATCCTCCAGCCACTTCCTGTCATCTTCTTTGTCATTTCCACCAGTAGTAACATCCTACGTAGATCGACAAGATCTGAAAAAAAACCCCAGAATTTAGATTTTTTTTTCTCAGACATTTGTCATCTTTTCTCACAATTACAATTTTGTTTAAAATTTTGACTACTTTCTCAGAATTTTTAAGATTTTTCTCAGAATTTTGACTTTTTCCTCAAAATTAAAATTTTTCTCAAACTTTTTTTTTAAAATTCTGACTTTTCTCATAAATCCGTTTTCCTCTTCATAATACTTTTTTCAGAATTTTGACTTTTATAGACATTTTGAAATTTCTTTTTAGAATATTTTTTCTCAAAAATCTATTTTTTTTTACTTTTTCTCAAAATTCTCACATTGATTCTGATTTTAAAGTCAGAGTTATAATTTTATCAATTCACATCCAACTCCAATCAGCCAAACATTCATATGTGTCAATCATTAGCATATAAAAATAATCGATAACTGTTTCTTCCATGCGATACGATTTGCACTTTATCCACACAGAAAGTCCATCCCAGATTAATTTACCATAGTAGATTTTAGAGTAGCAGTAGTAGACACTAAACAACAGGTAATTATCTCTTCCTGCTTTGTGAATGTGAACTCCAATTGCACATGATTAAACTCATACATTTATTTACTAAATGAGGAGACGGAGACGCTTCGTTTTAGGTAAAACTG